AAGTTGCAAGAAAAGGGAAATCCCCTTAAGTGTGCGCCGGACCCTGGAAAACTTTTGGCCAACCCAACCACTCCATACCCACCTCAGTGGGTCCCGTTCGTTTCTCTAAGTGCACATGCCACAAACAACTTAAGCTTCGCTAGGCAAATGTACATCGAAATGTGGAACTCACTGTCGGCAGGACGAAAGCGCCCAAAGGAATGCCGGCAGAGGCAGAGGCGAACGCAAAAGGCGTTTATTTGCGTTTATAATGTGTGAGCTATTAAAATTTTAGAGGCTGTTAGTGAGGGCTGCCAGGGGTGTGTAGACGCACTTGAATTAAAAATGTTTCTGCAGCAGCATAAAACGAAAATTAGTTGATTTTTTATACGCTCTGTGTGTGTGTGTGGGGGCGCGAGGCTCTTAAAGCTTTTAGGGCGGCAGCAGCTGCTGCAAAAATCTTTTAAGTGAAAATCCGCACAACGCTTGTGTTTGGATTACATTCATATTCATATATTTGTACTTGTGTTGGCGCTTGTGTTTGTGTTGGCAAGCGTAAAGTGGAAATTAACATAAAACAGGCGGGTAAGCAACGTGTACACAACATAGATTCGAAGTCGTGATGCCCTCGAAGAAACCGGATGCCTTAATTGTGCAGAAATAAAGCTCAAATTTCTTCTCTCTATGAACTATAATCTCTGCTGTATTAATTATGCAACCAATTTACTGACTCGGCCCAAGGACCCTTCATCGCTGCACTGCAACCCGCAGCAGAGCTTAACGAACCCAAAAGTCCCAGCATTTTTATTTACTTTTATATAAATATTTTTTTGCTGTAAGCCATGGCATTTTTTGCACCTCTCCGGATTCAGCTGCAGCTTATTTTTGATGCATATTTTATTTTGCCATTGCATGCGTAATTTTATTTGCTGCCACGCCCATCTCTCCACGGTGCTGTTGTTGCGGCTAGTTGCGGGCTCGTAATTCGCAGAGCAGGTATAAGTTTTATGACCATTGCTGCGATTTTGTTGCTCCTGCTGTTCAGAGAAGTTCAAATGGATGTTTTTAAGCCATATTTTTACATTTTTGAGGGTTGATAACGTAGCAATATAAATATTATATATTTTAAATTAAAGTTACATTATATAAAACACTAATGCAAAGGATATTTTAGTTGTGCTAACTTAAGCTATCACTTTGTAATGTAATATTTTAAAAAAATATTTAAGAAGATATATATTTTAAATAATTTTAAAAATATATAATGATTTAGCTGGTTTATATATGCAGGTGTGCAATAAGTATGTTTTTTTAAAGTTACTTAAAATATCCAGAATTAACTTTCAAAAAATAAACTCATATTTCCTCTAAGCTATACCTGACAACACTGATTCTGGCTGATGGCACAGCTCTCTCTCTATTTGGTGGATGGTTGTAAAAAATGTATGCATTCTACAACAAAATGCTGCTTGTTGTCGCCACTGTGGCTGCACCTGGGCGGATGGTTGTCGTCGTCGTCGTCGTCCTGCTGCTGCCAGGATATGCACGGCAATGTGCCAAATTAAGTGCTCTGCCTGCCAAAAAAGGAAAAGCGAAAAAAGGCATGAGAAATAAAGGACGGAAGGCTGCGTCCGGACGTCGCTTAAGTTGTGATGTAAATTTTAATTTCGCCATGTTATGACATGTTCCTAGGGCTCCTTTGAAGTCCTTCCAGGACTGACTTCACGTTCAAGTGCAAATTAAAGAGGCCTACCATGGCTGGAGCCTTTTGAATTAGTGTTTGGCAAATTTAGTAATGCAATTTGTTGGCCTTCCATGAAGCCTCCCCCGAGTTGTTTACTGCGGTCTGGCTTCTCGTTGCCAACGGCAACTGGCTAACGCCTGCCAAATTGGCATTTTAACGCAGCTGTTGATAAGTTTTTAATTAGCTTAGGCTTATTAGGCGGCACTTTAGTCGGGCCACGGCAATAAAACTGTGCGGTTGCACAAAGACTTTCCGAGCTCAAGCGTTTAAATTGGTATTAGAGAATAGAAAGTGGCCTAAACTTGATGGAGCAATTTTCCAAGTTACTACAAACACACAACAACTGTGGTTTTTAAGTACAATAAATAACACAAGTGGAATATTTAAATGTTATTTTCATTTTATTCTCTACATTTGGGTGATTATTTTACTTCCAGCACGAAATATATTACCCATTTTATTTAAATAACATAAATAACTGCAATGCCGATAATTAATAGTGTTATTGACAAAATAAACGTCCAGGCAGCTAGGTCAATAAATCTCCCTCTCTCTTTCGCTTTTCTCTACAACTTGCACACTTAATTATCACGTATACGTCATGTTGTACATACAGACGGCCAAAATAACTTGTAAGCTGCAATAAAATCCTTTTTCACACACAAATTATCCAACACGATTGCCAGAGCCATCAATATTTCAAAGGGATTTCACAGCAACCCGATAGCACAATCAATTTCTTATGAAATTTTCATCTGCTCGTGAGTGAAAGGTCAATTTGGTGTAAATGCCTATTGATTTTTTCGGAGCAGCCGCTGGAATGAAATTGAAATTATTTCCAATGACAGCAGTTTAGGGGACGTGTCAGAGCCGGGCCATTGCAAAAATACAGGAAGACATGTGAAAATAAAATAAATATTTATCTAGCCCGTATAATTCCGGTAGTAGTAGCCGGGCGGAGTTGAACAAATCTCTCGAATTGCCCAAGGCTGCTACGCTCATGTCGTCTTATTAAATCACACAAAATAGAAAAAGTTTCAGAGACTTTTCCGGGCCAAGTTGAGTGTTACACATTCAGCAGAGGTTGAACTGCCTCTTGGTCTCCTCGACTGTCAAATCATTTTGTGATAAGGATATAACAAATGGGCGCACGCACACAACTGCATGCCAGGATTTTCTATCTCGTGTCTGTGTGTCTGCTTCATAACTGACAAATGAAAATGTCAAAAAATGTTTGCTGAAAAGCTACCAACCAAATGGGAAAGAAAATATTCCATTTTTCTATGCTACCGCTCCGAAGTTGGCCCGAGAGATGTTTCCCAAAAATTTAATTAAAATTTCATTCTGGCTTAAACTCACCAAAAACGGCAGCAAACCACTGGAAAACTCTTAAATTAACAACCAATGGCAACGTTTGGAATTGTCAAAGCGGCATTTAAAATAATTGTTTCCAGAAAAATCATATTAATTGGCTCGTTTAGAGATGTCTTCAAGAAATGTGTAGGCTCAAAATACGCAATAGCATAAAAGAAGATTGGTATTTGAAAAACACAAATATGTATTGCTTTTTGGAATGGGTCTATATCCATATCCATATATTTCCCTAATTAACAAACTCCCATTAGGAGTAAGTCAGAGGCTTAAGTGTGCTCTCCGGTGCGGTGTATCATTACAATCTCGGCTTCAATTACAAGCTAAGCACTAAACATTTGAGCGAATGCCGAAAGCAGGTGGCCATGATTAATGTTCGGTTATTAATAACGTCGCAGGACAGACTCTTCAGGTGCCTGCCACATCGAGTCACTTTCCGAGTATCCATTACGCATTTGCATTGGCGCCAGACGGTTCGTTTTCGTTTTCTGCCAGCTGAAATTCTAGTCTGTCCGCAATTTTTAGACCAGGAGACGGGTGCCGAAATGGCAGCTAATGAAGCGACGGAATCTTTTTCGTTTTTGGATCCGTTTTTGTTCGTCCAGCTCATCGTCTCGGGTTCCCAAAGAGCAGTTGTATTCGTGTAAACACAGGGCAGGGGAAATCCGGGTCTTTGTTTTATGCTGTTTTCCACGAACGTACTCGCAATTGCTTGGTGCGCACAATAAACCTGCATTTAAGTTAATTTTCCTGTAATTTATCTGTTATTTAACTAAGGCAGCCACCGTGCAATATGTTGCATGATTTATGCCTGACATTTTCAATTGTTTATTGCTCTCGTTTCCTGTTCTACTTCGGTCTGTCTTTTGTTTTTCACTTAGATTAATTTTGACAAATATAAATGTCAAAATGGTCCTGGTCCTGGTCCTGGACAATTTAATGAACCGCCCTCATAAAAATATGAATAATAAGCAAATAACGGCGAGGACAAGGTGGAAACATAATGATGTGCCTTAATGGGGCCAGCAAATTATTGGGATTATGTCAACAAAGCGACCAATCCATTTCCATCCAATTAAAGTCGGACAATGCCAACTCAATTCGTACTTTCGCTGTGTCAACGAAGGGATGCGACTGCCATTGCGATTTTCATTTCATTTTATCCAGCCGGATATGCATTTACATAACTGTGACATCGATTCGTATAATAATTAGCTTATTGTTGCTCTGGCCCGCTTTCAAGCTGAAATCGAGCCAACTTCATCCGACGCAATTCATTATAAAAGAAAACAAACACTTGAATAATTCAGGGACCTTGTTGAAACACGAACATCGCAGTTGCAGTTTGCTGCGAAGCGTATTAAAAATAAATCAGCCGGATTGTGTGAATGTGAAAGTTTATTATTGGGAATAAATTACCTCGGCCAAGGGCAATTTATGGAACCATGTCACGCAGATAATGCGCCAAATTATTTTCAATTTATTTGTGCGTTAATCGCAGGATAGAAAATTAGTTTAACTGTAATCGCAAAATGCAAAACATGTCTGGGGATTAAATAAAAATATTTCTGTTGGCTTGCATTTTTGAATCCGTGGGTCATCGATTTGTAATTAATATTTGTCTGCTATACAGATAATAAGCGGCTTATAATAATATGGATATAGAATCTAAAAATCTGGAAAATAATACAGAACATTAAACAATTTTTAGGTCAACAATTTTCAAATAAATGTTGTATATTTAGGAATTTCTGTATTGGGAAATACTCACAAAACAAAATTCATTACTTAATTAGTTTCCGTTTTTATTTAAGAAAAAAATACAGCAAAAAACCAATATTAACACAATTTCGTTTTTCCTCTTGACTAATACCTTCTTTGTGGATCTTTTTTAATTTTCTTGCAGGAACCGCCATTTAAGGACACACAAAACAACTTTGACAAGGACATGCCGCAAATGCATTACATTATAATTTCATTAAGGACAAAAGCCTTTCTCAGCCAGCGGTGAAACAACGTTGCCAGGAGATAAAAGAGCGAAAAAGGAAAGCGGTGAAAGGATAAGGGCGTGCGAAGAAAGTCGGAGAGTCGCAAGGACCGACAATAGCCGCGGAGCCCATTGCCTACTTCTGGGCGCTGTCAAGCGGGAATCAAGAGCCTGGCATTTTTATGAAATTAATACAAAGGACACGGCAGGAGCAGCAGCTGAAGCCGAGGCGGTAGAAGTGCCAGCGGAAGTTAGAGTGGAAGCGGAAGTGCCAGCCATGACAAAAGCGGCGGCGGCGCCAGGACAACGATGAGCGGCGTTCCGATAGCGACAATAATGGCAGCAGCGCTCCTTCTCTTGAGGCCCGACTCCGTTCGCGTAGACGTGACTGCCTCCGATCGACTAATAACATTTACCCGCGGAGCAGATTCCGTGGCCTAACTTGACATGCCAACGTGACCCAGCTGGTTAAGACAAATACTGAAGAACCAAGGAGGCTAAGTAGCGGAAAAACACTAAAAATTCTCTCAAAAAAATAAACAATCTCGGAGCACTTGAGACAATGGGTCGTGGCCATCATTTTTGGATAGTGCTCCTAGCAGCGGTTACCCTCATCCTGACCCCGGTGCGGAGCTGTCCGCCCGAGGTGTGTGTGTGCAAATGGAAGGGCGGCAAACAGACCGTGGAGTGTGGGGGCCAGCAGCTGTCCAACCTGCCTGAGGGCATGGACCCCGGCACTCAGGTGCTCAACTTCAGCGGCAACGCCCTGCAGGTGCTGCAGTCAGAGCGCTTTCTGCGCATGGACCTGCTCAACCTGCAGAAGATCTATCTGTCCCGGAACCAGCTCATCCGGATCCACGAGAAGGCCTTCCGGGGTCTAACCAACCTGGTGGAGCTAGACCTTAGCGATAATGCGCTGCAGAATGTGCCTAGCGAGACATTCCAGGACTACAGTTCCCTGATGCGCCTCTCACTCAGCGGCAACCCTATCCGGGAGCTGAAGACCTCGGCCTTCCGCCACCTGTCGTTCCTCACCACGCTGGAGCTGTCTAACTGCCAGGTAGAGCGCATCGAGAACGAGGCCTTCGTGGGCATGGACAACCTGGAGTGGCTGCGTCTGGACGGCAACCGGATCAGCTTCATCCAGGGCAACCACATCCTGCCCAAGTCGCTGCATGGCATCAGCCTGCACAGCAACCGGTGGACCTGCGACTGTCGCCTCCTGGACGTCCATTCCTGGCTGGTCAACTACAACACTCCGCTTGCGGAGGAGCCCAAGTGCATGGAGCCTGCGCGCCTGAAGGGCCAGGTGATCAAGGGCCTGCAGCGGGAGCAGCTAGCCTGCCTGCCAGAGGTGAGTCCTCAGTCCAGCTACACGGAGGTGAGCGAGGGCCGGAACATGTCCATCACCTGCCTGGTGCGGGCCATCCCAGAGCCGAAGGTCCTCTGGTTATTCAACGGCCAGGTGATGAGCAACGACAGCCTGATGGACAACCTGCACATGTTCTACTACATCGACGAGACCATCGGAGGCAGTGGCGCCGAGGAGAAGCGCAGCGAGATCTTCATCTACAACGTGGGTGCCGAGGATAACGGCACCTTTTCCTGTGTGGGTCAGAATATCGCCGGCACCACCTTCAGCAACTACACCCTGCGGGTCATTATCAAGGAGCCGCCGGTGGTCAACGAAGTCTCCTTCCCGCGGGACTACATGAACTACATCGTGGCCAGCAGCGCCGGCGGAGGCATCATCTTCGTAGTGCTCCTCTGCACCATAGTGGTCAAGTGCAAGAAGCCCTCGGAGCCGGCCAAGCAGCGCAAGAAGTGTGACCAGGTGACAAGCATAGCTGGCGGCACGGACTCCTCGACGGGCAGTGGCCAGGATACGGGCATGATGAAATGCGCCTCGATTCTGAACGATGGCGGTGACAGCCTGAATGGGAATGCGGGTCTCCTTTTGGGAGACACCCTCACTCCGACAAAGGCCGCGAATGGAGCTGCCGGAGGGGGCATCATCTTGGGCAATCAGATGAAGCAAAACCTTCTGCTCTATGCCACGCCAAATCCCGCACAGCAGCAGCTGCAACTGAACGTGAACCTGATGGGATCTGGCCCAGGATCGCCGCCTCTTTTGCTGAGCAACGGACATGGGTTGGCCGCCGCCTACTGCTCTCCACCAGCCTCCCTGCGGAACTATCAGGAGAAGAACCCTGACCTGGTCAACGATGCGGAGAGCGTGAAGCACAAGCTGAAGACAGCGGTGAGTCTGGATGGAGCCGGCGAGTACGAAACCCAGAGCGATTGTGGACAGTACGAGGGCTGCTACCAGCTTGCGGCAGCTCCACATCCCGGACACCCCGGACATCCTGGTCATACCGGGGTGCACCCACATCCGCTGCCCGGACACCCGCTGATGGGACGCTTCGCCCAGGCGATGACCACACTGCCCCGGGGCATGCAGCTGAAGCCGGCCCCCCATCAAGTGGACGTGCACCTGAACCCAGTGTGCTTCCTGGGCCAGGACGGGGCCTTCGCCTACGACTACAGCAGTGCCCACCTAGTGCAGCAGTCCCCGACGCAGCAGCAGCAGCAGCAGCTTCAGCAGCAGCAACAGGTTCAGCCTGCCGCCAACTTCTACCGGACGCTGCCACATAACAGGTTGCACAAGCAGCAGCAGTTCCAGGCGGCAGCGGCGGCCGGTGGTGGCGCCGGCAATCCCACCCTGCGCTACAGCCTAGAGGCGGAGTTCATCCAGCGCGGTCCCACGGTCAGCTATGAGAAGTATCAGCTGCCCAATGTACGCTTCACAGCCGAGGGATATCCGCAGCAGCAGCAGCAACAGATCCTGCAGCAGCAACAGCAGCAGATCCTGCAGCAGCAACACCAATTTCCGTCACCTCCAGAGGGCTACAAGAGCGACCTGGCCGTGATGCCGGCGCCGTTCCAGCAGTGGCCCAGCTGCCTGCCCGGCTACCGCTTTGCCCAGTCACCCACCAGTCAACCAGCGGTAGCCACTCCTCCCGGACAACCAGCTCCACCAGCACCAGCATCGGGCCAGGCTCAGGCCCAGACCTGCAGCATTCCCGAGCTGGACGAGAACGAGGCTCAGTCGCCGCGCTTGGAGGAGGCCGCCTCCGCTGCAGTGCCTCCTGCCGGCGAGGAGGGCGACTCGGAGGCCGCGAAACTTAAACAGCTTAACGGTCCCTTGGCCGACAGTCCCGACGAAGGATATGTGGGCGATGGGCAGGAGACCAGCGACATTTGACCCGGCCAGCAGCCAGCCCGGAGCCAGGAGGAAGCGGCCTTAGACGACTCAGTTGCCCTGTAAGAGGCCAGGCTGATCACCAACCACTCATAGCCTAAGTTCACCCTTTCCAGCAGGAGGGACCTCTCCCGAAGTCCTCGCCTGCCCTTACTTACACTTCCCCTTTTTTTCTGTTTGTTGGTTTGCCCGCAAAAAACAAGCAAACAAAAGGCAGACCCAAGTTTAACCTAATAATTGGCAGAGGGAAAGAGAGAAGGAGAACTCGAAATACGAGTCTGAAAAGGAGAAGTCCGAGAAAAGCGAAAGGAGCGCCGAAGAAACGTTGGACGCTGGGGCAAGCCGAAGGACGAATACCCATTTGCCTTGGTGTATTTTGTAGGATTTATTTTATTTTATTTACTCAATATTGTTTCCTTTTGTGTCTAAAAATATTTTAATGCTAGACTTCACACTTAAGGAATATAGTTTAAATTATTTTCCGAATGTTTGGATTCCGCCGAAATCTTTTTAGAATATTTTTTAACATCTGTTATTTGCTTACCAACAAATATGAATTTTTCACGACCAACTGCACCACATTTTTGATGGACTTGCGGCTTGTTAGGGTACCTGGCCGAACAATGGACAGGACCTAACCTAATAAAGCCGAAAAACAAAGACGCCGCTAAACAAAAGCCTCTTGTCGTTGTTTGTTTCTGTTTGCTGCGTGCTTCGAGTGGCAAGCTGGCAGCATTTTATTTCCGCTGATGTAATTGAAAAACTTTTTCATTTAATATAAAGTTTTCAGCAGCCTCCCCGCAGCACAATGAAGAGAGCAAAGAAAAGGCAAAGAAAATCCCGGGCCTACGACTAGACATGTGTATGTTGGGGTGGTGTTGTGGGACTGCTGTGTCCTGTATGTATGCCGATTGAGTTGTCCGACTCTCGGAGGCGTTGTAAGTTGACAATCGGTGGCAAGGGGTCGGAAGGGGGCGGAAGGGGGTTTTTACACACACCACTTCCTCGGGATCCTTGGTATCCACTTGGCAGCGGTTCCGAGTCGGTGGCTCACTTCAGAGCCAAGTGGCATGTGTTTTCGCCATGGCGACACCTGCTCTCCGGAACACAAAGGACTCCCCGGCTCGAGGATTCGGCTGTTGAACCTTCCGCAAAAGCCATGCCGAAATCCGAATGGGAATCGCAATCGGTAGCGGGGACGGAGACGGGAATGGGCCTGAAAGGCTAAGTGGGGAATTCCGGACGAAAATCGCGAGTGGCATTAAGGACTTCCCCCTTTGTAGTGTGCTCTAGTTTATGAAATTTTAATTTGGGCCACATCCGCTTCACTGTTGCATTTAAATAATTTATAGCCTTTACTTTCCTCGGAACTTTCTGCGGGTCCTAAGCAAACTCTTGTTTAGCCATCACCTCACCTCACCCATCCAGACTTTAATTCTCCCGCCTTAAGTTTGTTGTACCGAATCGAACAGACATGAACACAAGTGTTTCCGGGTAACATTTAACGTAGATATCGTAAATTATAGCGGCTACCATTGTAAGGACTAACTATATATAGGATAACCCCGACCGTTTGAGACTTGTATGTAAATGTAGCCGTAGGAATCGTTTAAGCAGCGCCCCGGCTTTCCCTTTTAACGTAAATGTTATGTAAAGTAAACATCGCAGCTCTCCCATTGTAAATTAAAGCAGAAGTCAGGCGTGCGGGAAAAGAACAAGTAGCAAAATGTTTGCAAAATATTTTGAAGAGTGTAAGTAACCACAAGCAAACAATTAGCAATAGACGACCCGCATTTGAGGAGGACGACGAGCAGAAGCAATCATTTAAGCCGTATGGAGTACTGTAAATTGCATAAATAAATCATTAGCTGTAAGAACAAGGCAAACACAACACCTACAGGACACACTCTCACGTACTCGGTATGTTTTCAATGCGTAGCGAATGGTTAAGTTTTATTTTCACCAAGTGAGTTAGTTGGCAAGCGCACCCAAAAGGATTATAGTAACACAAACTAAATTAAACAAAACAAACAGAAGAGAGAAAAGATACAAAAAACCCACAAAAAAAATACATTTTAGCTTAGAAAACTGTTTAAATCACAACACAAACACAGACACTCAAAGGAAAACTGAACAAAAGAATTTGCTGGCAGGACTCTGCGAACGGAAAATAGTTTTAAATATTATATGGAATACACTGCAGAAATATTGAAAATGTTTAATATTAAGTTAATGGTTAAGCAAAGCAAAACATATACGCATTCAAAAAATAGTAAGTGCGAAAACGGTCACCAACATTTAAAGGATAACAATGAGAGAAAACGTCAGAGAAACAAAATGAAAAACACAGTCTAGTTATAAATTAATTTTTTAAGTTTAATTGAAATTCAAATGCATTATAATAATAACAGAAGCAAAGTGTAAAAAGGATAAGAGAGAAATTAAACCGAATAAAAAGCATTAAACAGAAGAATTTAATAAGAACTAAATTATGCCGTCTTTTATTCAAGCCGACAAAAAGGATGCGAACAATTCCAGCGATTGAATATTAAATAGACGAAGATGGAGCACATCATCTTTTCTTTTTTGCAGCAGGATAACGCGGAGATAAGGACGAATGGCATGGGAAATGCAAATGCGCCACTAAGTAGGCAGCAGAAAAAGTCCAGCTGGAAGCTCCAAGCTAGATGTGTTGGAGTATTGAAAGAAAATTAAGTAGGGGATAAAGTGTGATGGAAACAAAAAGAAGTAAAAGAAAGTGAAGATAAATACCTCTTGGTTTGATTAAAATCATCGTAGCTTCAACTTGAATCAACTGAAAAGTTCTACAGAATCTGAAATCATTTTGTTAAGGAAGGAGGAGAAGGAGATCAAGTTAAAGATGGGTAAATGTTTATCAGAAATTAAAAATACTAATGGGTTTATTTAATTTTAAACAGTGGTCGTTACTTGAATTTAAAAAATGCTGAAAAGTGAGTATTATTATCAGAAAACCCTTTATTCAGAACCCTATTCTCTGTGTTACTTTTAATCTGGTTAATCCCTTAAGATCGGAAACACCGAATGTGCCTAATCCCAATGTTCTTGCAGCACTAGTTCCGTTGCATCACCAAGGTCGTTTGCTTGCCTCAAGATGCGCAAATCACGCATACGCAGTGTGTGCCCCAAATGAGCACAACACGGCGCGGCAAGGTCGCAGCCCAGCTTTAACCCAAAGCCAAGCAGATCCAAGCACTGCAAAGCCCACACAAGCCCGCACCCGGACCGTACAAGGAGACGTAGCCCGAGGCGAAGGCGGACTGAAAACCCGGACCCGGCGCACTGACGCATTATACGTTTCAGTGCGCAATAATGTCATTAAAAGGCGCAAAAGGAGCACGGCTGCGAGCGCCGAAAGGAAAGCACAACTGGGTCAGTTAATGCAGCCAGTTGTTACCTCGACCTGACATTTATGAGCAGCCGTAGTTGATAGCTGACCCGGAGCCCAGGACCCCTTGCCGGCGTCGAGCAATTAAGAGCAGGGTTTAAAACAGCTCCGCTCCGGCAGCTCCACACGAGTCGAGTGTCGAAATTTATTGAAAATGCCTTAAGCCCGCACACCCGAAAGTCATCTAAAGCCGTCAGAATTATGGGCGCCCTCCACTCGAGCAGCCACATCGTTGACAGCGTCGGAGAGAAAGCAAAGCCAGGCAGGAATTGCGGTAGCGGCATCAAAATCAAAGACGGGCACCCGGCTCCGACCAGAAACCAAAGTCAGAGGCGCGCATAATTAATGTAGGCATAAAAACAAGTGACTTGTAAATATTGCCAAGGCAATGCACAAGTTGCGGATGAGGCTCCGCACACAAATACACACACAAGCAAAGGCACATCTCCCAAATGCCGAGTATCTTTGGGTTGCGAATATGGCCGGGATTGCGTTTGGTGTGGCCACTTACAAAGTGGCAAGTACAGGCGAGGACTGCGAGTCTGAGGTTGCCAGGCAGAGGCGCACAGTGGGATAGAGTCGGTCAAAAAAATAAAGTACGTAGTGCTGAAAGCCATTTTAGCAGTATATCTAGACTTGATTGTTACACTTTATATTTACATTTTATTGTAAAAACTCATAATATTTCATTTGCAATCCAGTGTTTAGCCATGTCAACCACTGTTCTGGATCTAAGTTTTACTTTGGTGGCATGACGCCCGAGTGGGCAAGACGCAGAGCCACTTAAAAGCGAAGATACACACAACCATGCGTGTGTGGGCGGCGTCCTTGTTGTTTATGTATGTGTGCTCGAGCGTCCCTCTTCGTCCTGCCGGGACTGGCGTTTGCTTCCCGGCGTTTATACGGTCTGGCGATTGTGACATTGTAGCTACAATTACAAGCGGAAGTGACGCACATCAACGCACAAATATGGAGGCGTCTATCTCTGCTTTATGTACGGCTAATGCGCCACTAAAGCTGCGCACAAATTGGGCTTATCGTATGGTTATTCCGATTCTATTTTATGCCCCAACTCTCCTCGACCCAACTGCCTTAGCCTGAGCCAGCCTTGGCCCCGAAACATTGTGTGAAAAATGTTGAGTCAAAGTTTGTGGCATTAATGCGGAACATCCGCCATGAGCTGTGTGCATGTGCCGGCGGATGTGTGGCCCAGTCGTTTGATATCTACATAAGTTGGCTAGTTTGTCTTATAAAGTTATTAACCAAAATTAATGTTTGTTATAAAATTTGCTCTGTGGTTCGGAAGTGCTTGTGCATAAAATAAACGATTCAAGGCAGTCCATATGCGTACAGTTGCTGTCAAAATTATAGCACTATAAATGTTTATATCCCAAAATTCAAAGGTTATAATAATCATTTTCATAATTCTGCAAATTAAAGTACACGTAAGTCTTGTGATAAATAAAATAATAATAAATAATACGTATTTTATTCAAAGATAATTTTGCTGCTATACATAAACCTTTTAGATTTTAAATTAGTTCCAAGACATTTCTAATTTCAAGCTTTATTTATATGACCGCTGGTGTTTCTCTGTTTTTGTGGTTTCCAACCTCAAGAAAGGCAATCAGAGTCATGCATAAGTAAACTATCTCAATATGCCAGGTGATTCATGGCAAGCTTTGTTGTTGGTCATTAAGGCTTGCAGATATTAGGCCTTGAGGTGGCTTAGCCAGCCAATTAAATATTGACGAGTGCATTATACATGAAAGCTTAAGATTTTAAATTAAAACTAGCACTACTTAAAACTTTGCGCATAAGTTACGCCATATTTGAGAGAGCACGTTTCCTGCAACTCGAAAACTTGGCCAATTTCAAATCCCTGACATCACGACTGCCGTTGCCAACTTGCTCCATTTATATGCCTCGTTTCGGGCTGAGTCATAAAAAGAAGAACGGATTCCGGGAATCTCTTGTCACATGTTCCTTCTGGAGTCGGAATTAAATATTCACATTTACGCATGCATGCACATTAATTTGCATAACTAATAATGTTGTTCCAACGAAAAATGTACAAAACTTTCGGTGTCCCAAGCAAAATGGACTCGGGGCGCTGGACTCTGGACTCCGGACTCTGGACTGTGGACTCTGGAAATATGTCAAACTGCAAAACTCGGATGACAAACAATGGACGGGGACCGAAACGTGCCTGGCCACGAATCGAGCAGCTGCGGAGATGTCCTCAAATTAATTCAAACTCATAAAATATTGACTATAAACAGACCTGGCTGCCAGCTGGCCAAAAGATGATGCGGGATGCCGTGGGTTGGCCATTTATCTTTGAAAAACCTACACGTACTTTGGGGCCCGCTCCTTTTTGGTATTTGTCTAGTTGTCAATTTTTAATGTGGCTGCTTGACAAATCAATTTTGCGAGACTACGACAAATGAAACGAACAACGACGAACAAAGGACTTCTTCGGAAACTTTCTATTTGCAGGATCCGGCACACAAAGAGCAATGTCAACGTCTTTAGGATAATTTGATTCGGATCTTCCCTCGTCCCTCTCTCTCTATCTCTGCCATCGCACAGGCTTTCTCACTATTTTGCCAAATTGATGGAATTTTAAATTTGTTTTGCCAGGCAACGTCCATTGACTGGCAATTAGAATAATTTGGCCAGCTGTTGCTACAGACCAGCTCCTCAAAGTGGACTTTGACTTGGCCATTCTGCCGGTGATTACACTCGAATATTTGCCAAACTATTTAATAGTCACACTTGGCCCTGACTTTGCTAGTACTAAACTACGACTATTTGTTAGTCAAATTTTGTTAATTCGAAAAGTATCAATAGTATTTTATAAATATTTTCACAACTAACTGGGAAAGCAAGTGGATATTTTAATGTTGTTTAAAGCGTATTGAAAAATCATTTTGACAGATTAAATAATGAATTTTTACCCAGCATTTCCTTCGGCGGAGTTCGTTTATCTTTGGCCATAAATGTCTGGAACCGCACACACTCGGACCCTTTTCCAAGGATACTCCGAACACTCTTTAAACACAAATCACCAAATAACCAAACAGGTTTCTGGTCAAAGCCATCCTTTGGCCACACACACACACACACACACACTATTTCTCCATGCGTATTAAGTGTAATTAACTTGGCCAACAACTCCGACTGAGCTCCAAGATGGCCCGAGGGCCTGGCCTAAGCCTTTGTTTGTTTATTTCTAGCCTTTGTTGTATAATTTAAATGGATTTTGTGGTTATTTTAAAGATAACAGTTGCAGTGCTCCGAGTATCTGCTCCATAATAAGTCTAAGCTCGGGCATGCGGTTCCATGCCGTCCTTCCGTTGTTTTTTCGGGTCCGAGCCCAGCTCTTTGTAATTTATACTAGTAGTTCCGGCTGACCCAGTTTCGTAGGAAAAGCGCTAAAACGATTTACGGGCCAGGCAAGGAGTTTAGTTGCGGCCATGATATAACAATTATTTGCTGTTTGCAATTGAATCTTAATCGCCCTTAGGTGGTAGGCAAGACCAATGCACTTTTGCTTTAAGCGGAGAACATGGTTCTTAAATGTGGCTCGTAATGAATTTACAAGTCGGCCACCTTTGGCCCACATTGACAATTCACAAAAGCTCAACACTTTGCTGCTGCGAAAAATCAATTTATATGTTAATTCGTAAGCAAAATCCACAACACAGAGGGAAAGTGTGTGAAAGCTTTGCCAGGACTCCTCCCTTTGCGTTGCCAAAATATTCACTCACGCAGCAAAAAAAAAAAAAAAGAAAAAAAAAAAAATGAAGAAAACAAACAAAAAACGGAAAAGTTCAACAAAGTGTTGTAGGTGCCAAAACTGACATTTGCCGAGCCAATATCTATGTGTGTGTGTGCGTGTATGTATGTCAGTTGTTGTGGTTGCGTTGGTGCCTGTGCTGGTATGGGTATGGGTGCGTTGGAGGACGCCCAGGACACCAGTTTTTAGCAGGCAGCTGTAAGCCATCAGTTGGC